GTGCTCTGGAGTCTAGTGGCCCGATGTGGATCCATCTTCCGCCAAGATCTGAAGTAGCAGTGCGGAATGTATGGACGGTGATTTTGTTCGAACTGATTTGCTCAGGGCTTTCTTCGACCCTGGTCTCAGTGTCTCGGCTGATTGGTGCCCTGCCGGACCTGATTGTCTAATGGTTTTACTGAGGGGGAATCAGTGGATATCTCAGTCACAAGCAATGGCATGATCTTTCATTTCTGCTGGTGGCACTCCTCAGTGGGCTTTGCAACCATGTCTGTTGTACTGCCCTTGGCTGGTTTACAGTTGTGTTTTTTTTTAGCCCCCCAGAGGGGATTTTTTAAATTGCATTTTTATAAAGACTACAAACTACAACAGAAAAAGGGAAGTGGACTACATTAAGGGATAACGAAAATATACCCACTACTATCTAAAAACCCAAGAGAGGAGATAATCTAGTTAGCTTGGCACACGTTATCTCTCACTCACGCTAATCCCATTATGAACTGATTCAACTATAGTATTATCTTTTTCATAACTATCACTGTTAACCCGAAAGACCCCTAAGCATCTAGTGTAAAAAAAAAATAACGTTTTTCAAAGGCACAGTTCAGAGTCCTTCAGCCTTCATTTCCCCTTGCCCAGTCTCTTCCGCAGTTTATAAGGACTTTTAGGGGCAACTGCCCCTTTCTCTGATAGAGAGTCCTCTCCGGAAGACCCCGAGTCCAGCTCGCCACTGGACTTACTGTCCATCCCTTCTTTTTTTCCCCTCCTCTGGCTCTCCCATCTAGACTCTCAAAAATTCCCGTGCTTTCTGAACAGAGTCAATCTTTTCCTTTTTATCCTTGATTTTGAAGATCACGTATTCTGGTGTTAGCCATCTGTATCCAATTGCGTTTGTCTGGAGAAAAAGAATTAAATCTTTGTACTTCTTTCTCCTTTGTCTTATTTCAAATGGAATGTCTTTTAGGATTCTGATAGCATTATCTCCAACTTTCAAAGGAGCTCCAGATGCCGCTTTCAAGATTGCATCCCTCACACATCTCTTCGAGAATCTTATTACTATTTCCCCAGGCAGATTGTTTTTCTTTATATATCCTGAATATGACCTGTAGGCCACATCCATATCGCTCAGCAAAGGTTCCGCCTTCATCTCTGTCATTGGGGCCAATAATTCACTCATCTTCTCCTTCAGATTCTCTCCTTTAGTCTCTGGAAGGCCCTGAAAGCGAAGAATCAAATTAGCTTTTTCCATGTATAGTTGTAACAGCTGATCTTCCGTGGAGATTTGCTTCTTTTCCAGCTTTTGTACTTTCTTCTTCACTTTTTGTGCAGTGGCGTCCACTTCTTTCACCTTCTCAGCTATTTGAGGCATCATTTTAAGTGTCTCACTCAACTGTGTTTGCTGGGTGGTGATACAGTGATTCATTGTTGACAGCTGCTGCTTGAGATTATTCATCTGGTCCAGCAGAGGGCGCG